GATTAGAGTAGAATAGTCTAAGCATGCCCTCTGGACAGGGGCAGCCCATTTTGGGTGAAAAGCTCTGGATCTCCTTACCTGCTGACACCTCTGAGGCAGGACAGGATGAGCCAGCTAACCTGAGCTCAGCTCTTATACCTGGGGGAAGGGAGGGGAGACAGGGGGGAGGGAAGCGAGGCAGGGGGCTGGGCCTCATCTTTAAGCCACCCCGGCAATTGCAGCTGCCAGGGCTATGAGCCAGCTGTGTGGGCTCCACCCTCCATTGGCCAGAGCTCCAGAGCCCGCCCCCATCTCTGCCAGGAAGAGGGAGCCACAGAGGGCTGGGTCTGCTTGCCCCTGGCCCCAGACCAGGAGGCAGGGTCCCGGGAAAAGATAGGGGAAGAGAGGCAGGGAAAGGAGAGGGGGAGGGCTTGGAAGCACTATAGGGTCGAGCTTGGGAGGAAGGACCTGGAGAAGTTGTAGGTCAGGGAAGTGAAGGGGCCCTGAGCTAATAACCAGAAGTAGAGGCTGATGAAAGCAGGGTTTGCGGCCCAGAGGGAATGAAAGACACGTGGGCTGAGAGGTCTTCAGGGACCTCTCTGTACTTTGATGTCACACACACACGCACACACACGCACCAGGGCCAGTTTGGATCCTGCCCAGATCCCAGACCCCGGCTTCCTCAGTCCCAGTAGCAGAGGGATGAAGGAGGCCTGGGTCAGGAAGAAGGAGCCAGAGAGGGGCAGCCTGGGTGCTGTCCTGCCTTCCCTTCAGCTCCCCTCTACCAGCGTGCACATGTGCAAGGCCCGGATGAGTTACCTGGCAGCTAATGACCTCTCCAAACTGGTTGGGCTGCCTGCTCCTCCCTCCCTCATGCCTTTCCTACCTCAGCGGCTCCATAGCAACCACACACACACACACACACACACAACCACACACACACACACAATCCAGTACCGAGGATGCATCCCAGGCAGCAGATCCAGGGACTCAGCCCAACCCCAAAGGCTCTCCTCACCTGATGGAGAAGGGCAGGCGGTCAGGGCAAGGGTGGGGCCCAGAGTCAACGCTCCCAGACTCCTTTCCTAAATTCTGAGATCAGGGCATACCTCCTGTAAAAATAATAATAATAATAAAAAATAGCCAAAACCGGTTTGGCTCAGTGGATAGAGCGTTGACCTGCGGACTGGAAGGTCCCAGGTTCAATTCCGGTCAAGGGCATGTACCTACCTGGGTTGCGGGCACATCCCCAGTGGGAGGTGTGCAGTAGGCAGCTGATCGATGTTTCTCTCCCATCGATGTTTCTGACTATCTATCTCTCTCCCTTCCTCTCTGTAAAAAATCAATAAAATATATTTTAAAAACCAACCCCAAAGGCTCTCCTCACCTGATGGAGAAGGGCAGGCGGTCAGGGCAAGGGTGGGGCCCAGAGTCAACGCTCCCAGACTCCTTTCCTAAATTCTGAGATCAGGGCATACCTCCTGTAAAAAAAATAATAATAATAATAAATAATAATATAAATGGAACCACTTTGAAATGGAGTCCAGGGTGCCTGGCCGGTGTAGCTCAAACGGTCCCATGCACCAGGAGGTCGCTGGTTCGATTCCGGGTCAGGACACGTGTCTGATTTCGGGCTCCATAGCCAGTAGGAGGTGTGCAGGAGGCAGCGGATAGATGTTCCTGTCTCTCCCTCTCCTTTCCTCTCTCTGAAATCTGTAAAAACATTTTTTTTAATAGAGTCCAGGGTGCCATTCCAGAGAAACTGCCTTGTTTATCTCACTCTTCAAACCTTTTAAAACTGGGCAAAATGACCTTTGGACTGGGCCTAGCAGCACTGTATCCCAAACTGTTTGCAAAGATAACAAGAAAGCAGATGGAAAATTGAACACATTCCTTAGAATTAGCATCCCCTATGTTAGCTTACTGCACCTATAGAAATTCCTTCCTTAGCTTATTAACTCCACTAAAAATTCCTTGGGGGAGGGGAATGGAGTGGGCTAGAAGGGGTCAATGGGGGTAAAGGGGGTAAATATATGTAATGCTTTCAACAAAAAAGATTAAAAATAAATTTCCTTCATCACTCGAGCCAGGTAGTTCAGTTGGTTAGAGCACGTTCCTAATACACTGCATTGTGGGTTCAGTCCCCTTCAGGGCACATACAAGAATCAACCAATGACTGAATAGATAAATGGAACAACAAATCAATGTTTCTCTCTCCCTTCCTCTCTCCCTCAAATCAACAAAAATAAGTAAATAAATAAATCCTTCCTTCTCTCCACCTGTATTATTCCCCTTCCCTGTCTCATAAACCCCCCTCACTTCTTAATCAGAACATTATCTGGGTTTCTGCCTAAATCAGTGCTTCGAAAAGAATGAGTCTTTTGGGTCTCAAATAAGAGCTTGTTGCCTCACTCTGTCCTTTTATTTTCAGGTGACCGTGAAGTATGGTAGCAATCATCTCAGGTAGAAACTATAGTTTAACTTTAACCCTGCCGTTTGGTTTCTGTACTTGTTTGCTTGCTAAAATAATAGAAAGGTTATTTTAATTTTCTGAATTATATAAATCATCCTATTCGATTGAATGCCTTATTGATGGTAATGTGAATATCCCATTGGTTGTGGTCATACTGGTCTTAGAAAGCGTCTTATTGATGGTAATGTGACTATCCCATTGGTTGTGGTCATACTGGTCTTAGAAAGCACCTTTTCCTTTACCTGGGAAGGACAGCCAGTTATCCCAAGGTCAGAGGGCTCCAGTTAACGTGTTTCTGTCAATTCAGTGATCCGGAGACCCAAAACTGTAATTTAGATAACGTGCTGCTTCTGCTTCTGTAAACTGCTTTTTGCAAATCAGGTTCCTCATTCCAAACCTTGGGATGTAGTCAATACCTTTTGCCTATATAAACCCGGTGTTGCGGCCATCTTATCACTGTGAGATTTGGGAAATGCTCCCTCATAGTCCCGGATTTGCAATAAATGTGACTCTTTAATTCAACTTCTTGAGGCGTCTTTGTGTGATTCGCGGGGTATATCACAACAACCGCGCCAATGGCCCTCGAAGGCCCCTTCTAGGCCCCCGCTGTACTTGTGGCCTCGGTGAAAGGCATCTGTGTGTCCCAATGAGACCCTTCTAAGGGTGTCTCATTCTGAACGTTCCTCTGAGAGGCATCATTCCGGAGACCCTCTGACAGTCTCTCAATCTGAGGGCTTCTCCAGAAGTGCCTCAGCCTGGGGTCCCTCCGAGGAACTTTCTGGAGCTCCCTCCTGGGGTCACTCGCTGTGGGAGCCCCTCTGGAGTACCTCCGACAAATGACCCCTGGCAGTCCCAGTCTGGGGGTCCCTCTCGGTTTGGAGGCACTTAGGTCTCAATCTAGGGCCCTTTCACGGTGCGAGGTAGCCTCTGCACTAATAGCTGCCCCAAATGGACACCTGATGGTCGTGCAGTAGCAGCCCCTGCAAGTCGGCACCCACTGGGCTGCCCCACCCCTGCCCCCTCTGGTGGCGGGCAGTGCAAGCCACATGCCACTCAAGCTGAGGACAGAGAGGGGCACCATGGTGCTCTAATGTTCTGCTTCCTGCAGCACCTCTGCCATCGTTACCCCGCAGTCCTCGAACCAGAACCTGTGTCCATCCTTCCATTCCACCCCCGCTCTGGAGGGAGCAGGGAGCGAAGGAGGGAGGGCCCAGCGTTTCCAAGCACCCACCCAGCCAGTTCATCAGAGGCTCTGGGATTTCCATCCAGCCCCACCTGTTCATGACTTTATGGCTTAACCTCTCTAAAATCTGTTTCCGCCTCTTTAATACAGGACTGACAAACAGAACCGACCTCCAAGGGCTGCGAGAAGTAACAAAGATAATGCAAGAAGATGTTTAGCACTGCGCCTGGCATACAGCAAGCCTGTGGGGTGCGGCCACAGTGTTTGGACAGGTTCAAGCCTCGGACTGAGGAGAGGGCACAGTCCTCTCATTGCCACGTGCAAGTCCCAGCTTGGAGGGCAGAGCCTTCCCAGCACAATTATAGCCAACAGCTAGAGTTATGAGCTTGAACCTATGGTCCGAACACGTGGCTCCACATGCCTGAGTGACACGGCTTGTGGGTGCTAGTGCTGTCCATCAGAGAGGCAGCGTCCCACCGAGACCCAGCTTTCATTCTCTTGTCTGTCTTTTCTAAGCCTTTCATCGCCCCCACTCAGGGTCACTGAACCAGGCTGAGCTGGCAAGAGTATGCCATGGCCTTGCCGGCTCCCCGCATATGGCGTCCGACCAGGGACCGAGTTCTGCAACCAGGGCCTGAGTCCGGGCTCCCCACACCAGCCCTCAGCACGTAGTCCCGACTATCATCTCCCAAGGACACAAAGCCCAGGAATAAGAAAAATGGGAACTGAGATCACGCCCCTGAGCCCTAGGAGGCACCAGTAGAATGAGTCACCTCATCTGGCCCAGAGATCTGTCTCTGCCTTTCATATATTCATTCACCAACCATTTATTTGTTGAGCAACCTAACCTGAGCACGAGACCTCGGTGCTAGATGCTGCAGAATATTTGAAGATGAGTAACATTCCTGGTCCTCAAAGAGCCCATAATTTTTGGACCCCCCCCCCCCCCCTCAGGTCAGAGCAGAGCTTTCCCACCCGCTAGTCTCAAGAGAAGAAATCAGGGTGGGCGCGAGTAAGAAACATTCGTGTGTTAAGGAGAAGGCTTTATTTTCGGGGAGTGGAGTTCTGCCCGGTCCTGCCCATCTTATCCCAGGCAGCCGGACTTCTTCTGCGTCTCCTTCTCCTTTCTGATCTCTTTGGCCAGCTCCCCAATCAGTCTCCAGTACTCGTTGAACCGGAGCTCTGAGTCCCCGTTCACATCCAACCTCTTCATCTTCTCATCCAAGGAGCCCACATCCTAAGGAGACACCAAAGGGAAGGGTGAGGTTAGAAACAATGGTTCTCGAGAGAGGGAGAGAGGGAAGAACTGTGAGTTGCCATTCCCTTCCTTCAGGGAGTGTGAGGACCTGACCCAGACCTTCGAGATGAGGCTGCAGCCCTAAGATAGGATTGCCGGGGGGCCCAACTCCAAGGGAGAGGAGCACAGGGAGGTGGGGACTTGATTCATAGTGTTTGCTGGGGTGGAAATACTCCCGCCACAGCAGACTAGGAACCACGGACATGGCGATGAACATAGAGCTGGGAAGAGATGCATACCGAGGGCCCTCACCTGCAGGTGGAGGTGGGTTCTGAACACCACTGCACCAGCCCTGGGATTTGTGCAAGGACACTCGGGGAGCCCTTGTAGGCATGGACCCACTCTGATCATCCTCAAAACCTTCTCAGGCCACCCTCCTCACCCACAGAAAGCTGGAGAAGTTCAGCACGTGGCTGCTCACTTGCATAAACCTGATGTCTTCTCATATTTCCACTTGAGTCACCAGCCTGGTAGATTGGGGGAATGGCAAAGACACAAGGCGTTTTCCTAGAGGGCCCTTGACTAAGTCTCTCATGACAAGCCTGGGAAATCAAAGGATACTATAAGCTGGACCGTCATGATCAAAGGCTTTGTTGCCAGATAAACAATCACAACCAAAAAGTGGACTGTTTAACAATGCATCCTTGTCAAACCAGAGAAGGGTGCCTCAGGCACAGCTCGATGCTGAATATCTGAACCAATATTTGGATGAAGACAGAGAAGATTTGCCTATTCATTAGATGGCACAAAGCTGATCCGTGTAAGAGCTACACAAGACTTTTTAAAAAGCTACTATCATGTTTAATTGTAGAATACTATAAGCATTGCCAATTGAAGGCAAAGATGCCCAGTGTAACACTATATCGGAGGAGAGAAAACATACAGTCAAGAGAAAGAAATAAAAGGTATAATAACTATTGGGAAAGAAAAGGAAAATTCACTTCTTATTATCTCAGCAATGACATCATTGTACACCTAGAAAAAAAAACACACAAAAGAATGATAATAGCTAACATTTCCACAAGTGTAAGCACTTAATAATGCTGACTGTTCCAAGCATTATGATAACACATTACACTCGTTGGCTTCATTTAATCTTCATAATCTGCTGGAATGAAAGGGTCCATGAACACAGGGACCTTGTCCATCTTGTTCACCGCTGTAATGCCAATCCCGGGAGAAGGTCTGGCACATAGCAGATGCCTGTTCACCACTATAACCCAAAGCCTAAAACAGCATCAGGACAGGACAGAACACTGACTGAACAAATGCAAGACCAATCCAACGAAAAACATTATGAGTCCATTTCACAGACGAGAAATTAAGGCTCTGAAAGATTAAATAACTAACCAAGGATGACATGCTAGAACCTGCATTTGAACCTAGATTGTCTGACTCAGAGCTTATGTCCTTACCCACTATTCTGTATGTCTACCCTCACCCCCAAAAAAAGACTATTAGAAGTGATAAAGTATCTGATTATAATATTAGTACTCAAAAACCAATACCTTTTAGGTAAATAAATATTAACCAGTTAGAAACTATAATAAGACAGATCACATTTAAAATAGTAAAAAATAGCCCTAGCTGGTTTGGCTCAGTGGATAGAGCCTCGGCCTGTAGACCAAAAGGTCCTGGGTTCAATTCCAGTCAAGGGCATGTACCTTGGTTGCAGGCTCCTCCCCGCCCGGGCCCTAGTCAAGCTCCAGCAAGTCGATGTGTTTCTCTCACATCAATGTTTCTCTCTTTCCCTCTTTCTTCCACTCTCCCTAAAAACCAATGGAAAATATCATCGGGTGAGGATTAACAAATATATATATATATATATATTTGGCTGTATACATTTATACTATAAATATACATATAGTAAAAAATAAAATAAAGCACTTAGCATAAATGTAGAAATCTGTTTAGGTTTTGTGAAGAAAACTGAACTGAAGGATATATGCAACACTGTGATTTATAAAAAATATATATTCGGTCATTCAGATGACTGATCAAAATATAATTCTAATATATACAGTTTGTGGTCTTCCACAGTTCCTGACTCAGAACTCCCAAAACCTTTGGAATATCCTAAGTGTAGAGCATGATCAAGGTGTCTTGTGTTATGTTAATGAGGCCCTGACACATTGGCAACTAGACCTCAGAATATGTATTAAATATAAAAGAAAATTCGAATAAATATAAAAACATATCTTTCTTTAGAAAGAAAGGCTCAATGGTGTAAACATGTAAATGTTTCCTAAAATTTATTTACAAGATCCCAATTAACAATCTACAGGATTCTTTTTTATTTTATTTTTTTTAAATCCTCACCCGAGGATATGTTTACTGACTTTTTCAGAGAGCGAGGAAGGGAGAGTGATCCCAACGAACAATCTACAGAATTCTTTTTTATTTTATTTTTTTTTAAATCCTCACCCGAGGATATGTTTACTGACTTTTTCAGAGAGCGAGGAAGGAAGAGAGAAATATCATCGATGGATTGGTTGCCTCTCCTACTCACCCGACTGGAGATCTAACCTGCAACCTAGGTATGTGCTCTGACTAGGAATCGAACCCGCAACCTTTCCGCATACTGGACTGAGCCACACCAGCCAGGGCTATAGGGTCCTTTTTTACCATGACTAAGTGTTACTAAAATTCTTATTGAAAAATAAACATGTGAGATCCACCAGTAAAAATCTGCACAATACGAGAGAACCAGCCCTCTCTTTCTCTCCCTTCCTCTCTCTAAAAAAATCAATAAAAAACAGCCCAGCCTGCGTGGCTCAGTAGTTGAACATTGGTTGGGTTCGATTTCTGGTCTGGGTACAAGCCTGGGTTACGGGCTTGCTCCCCAGTAGAGGGCGTGCAAGAGGCAGCCAAATCAATGATTCTCATCATTGATGTTTCTATCTCCCTCTTCCTTCCTCTCTAAAATCAATAAAAATCTATTTAAAAAAAAAATAATAAATAAGTAACATATTGTTGGTTGAGGATTTAAGAGAGAGAGAAAGCCAACTCTACAGATTATTGTTAGGCATATTCTCTACCATTACCCCCTGCTTGGGGCTCTCACCCTCCCTTCAGTTTTTCTATTATTCTCATTTCAGGTTTTGCTAGACATGACACAGTTTTCAGTTTCCAGTAAACCGCCTCACCCAGTTTCCAGTGGACTGCCTACACCTGGTTCGACTGGTTACTCTAAACTTTACAGGAGACATAAATATCCCGCTCCCCCTACTCTGCCCCACTGACAACCCTGGGTGCATAAGGGAGACAACCAATCAATGTTTCTCTCTCTCTCCCTCCCTCCCTTTCTCTCTCTCTAATATCAATAAACATAACCTTGGATGAGGATTTTAAAAAATAAAAAAGACTCAGGAAAAAACCTTTGACCTTCCCCCTAAATGCCTAAAAGAATTTAGATAGAGAACCTGCTCCATAAAGGAACTATCATGATAGATAACTATAGTTTAATATGAATATTGTGTGATAGGGAGGAACCTGGCAAAGCCCATTTGGTAAAAGTCCTCTGTGCCCCATTGTTAAAGATGGCCCCACAAACATTATTTGCCAAACACTTGCTCTTCTGTCTCAATGGGAATTGCCCTCCTGCCCTTTCAAGTCCCAAATCACAATCCTCCCCGCTTCTCCTTACTCCAGAATGGCATATAACCCTCTACTCTTCTAGGGCCCCATTTTCTTATGGAACCCCCATGTGTACACATGTATTAAGTTTGGTTAGTTTCTCCTCTTAATCTACCTCATGTTAATTTGATTACGATAGCCAGAGAACATTCATTTTTACTCCCCTACAGAGGAGCAAAATCAGAATGACAGGAGGTAGAAGGCAGAGAAAGGGAGGCTTAAAATTGAGACTTTGGAAGTGGTGCATTATTTCGGTAATAACAAGATCTGACGCCTGAACAGAGGAGTGGAATGCTGAGATGCAAGAAGACAGAATCTTTGGAAGTGAGGCATTCTCAAGAAAAGGAAAGGGCCAGGTGCTAGATGGGCTGTCTCTGTGGATACTAAGGATAATGACAGTACCAGCGATGAGAATAAAACAATGAGCAAGGAGCTGAAGAGCTCTAAGAAAAAGCAGGTGGTATCTGAGCTTCCAAGGAGCTGGGCATCTTAGAAAGAAGAAAAAACGAAGATCCGGAAGCAACGATGAAAAGCAAAGAGGTCACTCCTGCATTTCCAGGCCCAGAGGAAGCTGGATTTGGAAGAAAAACCACTCGCTATGTGACGAGGCTACAGGAAATGCTGTATTTTCAGGAGAGAATCTAAAGTTTCCTGTGAGAAGAGGAAGGGAAAGGTCTGGGAAATCTAAGGATGTAGGGCAATGGTCGGCAAACTGCGGCTCGCGAGCCACATGCGGCTCTTTGGCCCCTTGAGTGTGGCTCTTCCACAAAATATCACGTGCGGGCGCGCATGTACAGTGCGATTGAAACTTCGTGGCCCGTGCGCAGAAGTCGGTATTTTGTGGAAGAGCCACACACAAGGGGCCAAAGAGCCGCATGTGGCTCCAGAGCCGCAGTTTGCCGACCACTGATGTAGGGGATTTTGCAAATGATAGACTATGAGTTTCAAAGACCAGTTTGCTTGCTTTTAAACCCATCTTCACACACTTTTATGTGCCCGTGACTTTTCAGAAAGGACGCAAAAGAAACCGTTAGCAGCCTGGGGATGATGTACCAACCCAGTGGGGATGACATTTAAATCCCTCATCTGTCCAGTGAGGAAAGAAGGAATGACCTTGTCAGGCACATGATTGAGGGGATTCCCAGAGAGGGTGGGCAGGAAACAGTCACTGAGAGTCTATGAGAACATGAATTGGGCTGTGGGGTTTTTTGTTTTTGTTGTTGTTGTTGTTGTGTTTTTTCTAAACCCCTCCCCACAGCTGGGCCTCAGATTCCATCATTGTTAAGTGAGGAGTGTGGACCGTATTTTCTGCTGCCCACCCAGCTCTGATGGCCTAGGGACCTCCTGGCAGGAGCTTTGGGTCCAGCCCTGTGTGAGGGAAATGAGACCAGAGGGGCACAGAGCAGACACAGGAACCTCACAGCATCTTCTGATGGGAGCACAAAGCCCACTGACACTTCCCCTCACACAGACACAGAGTTGCCTAGTCACACACACACCAGGCAAGATCAGCCAGGACCACTCACACACAAGCAGTCGACTACACTCTTCTCCACAACACACCTGTGGTCACATGATTGTGCCCAGCAATGTCGTGTCACATATACAGAGTCCCACAATCACTGTCTGCCAAAACCTCAGGCCCAGAGACCCCGACCTACCTTGAGCAGGTGAGGGAACTGCTGAGTGGCCATTTCCTTAAATTCATTGATGTTGAGGCTGCCCTTCCGGCCCTCGCGCCTTGCAAAGGTGAAGAAGGCGTTGACCAATGTGTCAATGGCTGTCTCCACCTCAGTCAGTGGCTCTGCTGCCATTAGGACCCTGGGGACTATAGCTGATGTCCTCTGGGGGCTGACCTGCTGGGAGGGGAAGGAAAGGGAGAGTCAGGATAGGCCAGAGTGCCCCTGCCCTGGGTGGCCACCTCACGCCTCTGTCTGGACAAGACATTATGGGGAAGGAGGAGACAGGGATGGAGCTTGGGCAGGGGAGTACCTCAGTGCAGGTGCGGGGAAGGGTATTCATTTCCAGAAACCCCTTCCTCTCTAGATCTCAGTCCAGGGTCCTGTTTTGTTTGTTTTTTGTTTAAATATATTTTTATTGACTTCCGAGAGGAAGGGAGAGGTAGACAGAGAGAGAAACATCAATGACAGGGAATTACTGGTGGGCTGCCTTCTACACGTCCTTTATTGGGGATCGAGCCTGCAACCTGGGCATGTGCCCAGGTCAATATTCGAACCATGACCTCCTAGTTCATAGGTCAACACTCAACCACTGAGCCACCCCGGGGTCCTTTTGCAGTGCCTGTGCGTTAAGGACCGCACTGTGATGGTCCCTCAGCCTGAACCCTGACCACAGGTGTGTTGTGGAGAAGAGTGTAGTGGACTGCTTGTGTGAGTGGTCCTGGCTGATCTTGCCTGGTGTGTGTGTGACTAGGCAACTCTGTGTCTGTGTGAGGGGAAGTGTCAGTGGGCTTTGTGCTCCCATCAGAAGATGCTGTGAGGTTCCTGTGTCTGCTCTGTGCCCCTCTGGTCTCATTTCCCTCACACAGGGCTGGACCCAAAGCTCCTGCCAGGAGGTCCATAGGCCATCAGAGCTGGGTGGCCAGGAGAAAATACGGTCCACACGCCTCACTTAACCATGATGGAATCTGAGGCCCAGCTGGGGGTGGGGCCGGGGTAGAAAAAACACAACACTCCAGCCCACGCCTGCAGTCACAGCATCTCGGGGAGGAGGCTCTCAGGCTGAGGGGAGCCCTGTCAGTCTCCGGACCCCTCTGTGGGGTTCAGTCCCAGGGCCCTTGCTTGGAACCTCACCCAACCTCAAAGGGTCAGGAGGCTGCCTGCCTCCAGAGCTTGCTTGTTTGTGCGGGGACCAGGTCATCACCCGCAGGCACTCGGCCTGCCCCTCCCAGCAGAGCAGCCCGGTCTGCAAGCGCCCCGCTGTGGTCAGGGCTGTGGTCAGGGCTGGCCCTCGGGCGCCCTCCCCGCCTCCCAGCAGGGCCAGCGGGGCAGAGCACAGGACCCCCCCAGTCTCCCGCCCCTGTTTCCGGGCGACAAGGGTCCTGGGTGGGCCTCTCCGACTGCCGCCACCCAGGAGGGTTCCGTCCCGCACCCACAGCCCAGGGGCCGGGGAGGGCTGGGGGGACCTGCCCGCTCATCCTCTCTTTCCAGCCGCCCCTCCGCTGCTCCCGGGGCCTGTGGCTGCATTGCCCCAAGCCTCTTCCAGATCCCATCGGAGGCTCCGGGGCGGGGCCTGGGAACCCGGGGAGGAACAGGCTCCTCGGGCTCCCTCCCGAGTTCGGGGGACACAACTCACCGGGGCGAGTCGCACAGATGGGGTGCAGCGCGCGCGAGCAGCGGAGCTGAGGTTTATAAGCGCCCAGGCCGGGAGGCCGGCCGCTCCCAAGCCTGGAGGACACAAGTTTCCTGTTGATTCTGG